CAAAAATAAAACCAGAATCGAAGTATACTTATTTACTTAAAGATTTTAAACATCAACATTCTTCTCAGTTTATTTTCCATGTGCTTCCACTGTTACTTAGGTTACAGGTTTTGCTATAAAACAAAAATGACAAGTAGAGTTGAAGTAATCTGATGCATGAGTTATTAGGAAATTTAGGGTCCTGTTAGATTTCCTTCTTTAGGGCATTCAGGAATCATTACGTTATCATCCCCTTGTTCCAAACAGGAGCAAAGATGGGATGTGAAGCTAGAACCCTTTGCTTCTCGCTCTTTTACTCTGCGCACGCTGCTGTTGCAGCCGCCAAGCTGCGTGGCATGAGCAGTTAAATGCTGTGGCCGCGTCTTCGAAACGGGGGCTCGACTGCTCGCACACGAGGCTTGAGCTCACACGGTAGGTACGACTTGACAAAAGCACTTGGAAAGCTGTGGAGTGATTGTGCCTTTTGTTCACAGGTGGGAACTCTGCTCAGGAGAGGTGCCTCTCTAGGGAGAGAGAAAAATCCTATCTCACCATGGCTCGGAGGCGTGCTGATGCCTCCTGCTAATGCTCAAGTTTCTGCTGACTGTCTAGACAGTTTCCATTCGGTAACTCTGCTTTTGTTTCTTATGATGCTCTGTGTCTGCAAAGACCGTGCTCATCTCTGACAAGAACATTGTCCGTGGCTTGATTAAGTCAAAGTGATCAAAAACTGTAGAGGCAGGTTTTCCCTATAAGGTTTGTCTCGAGTCCTTAGTCACATGCCTTCGGCAAGTTGTTCATCATTCTTGAAGTTAGGACTAAAGGTTTTGATTTAAATAGGAAGATCAGACAGTGCACATCTCTTACCATTCTGCAATAATTTTTCCTGTTCTGAGGGGAAAAAATGCCAGTGCTGGAAACCCTTTAACTGTACTATTTCTCAAGCCAGTACAACTTCAGTGTGTCTGCTGTGTACACATTTAGCATTGTAGAGCCTGATTTATGATGACTATTAAAAAAACCCAAAACACTCAAACCCCCCCCCAAAAAAAACAAACCTCCATCCAGCAAACCCCACACAATATGAATGACTCTTGGTGAATATCTCTGGAAGCTGGTAATGAGGTAAATACCAGCAGTTCAAGAAAATATTGAAGAAGATGGAGAAATGTTGATGCCTTGGGAAACAAAGTTTTTGCTTTAGCCACGACAGACTCTTGGCTTCATTTTTCTAAAATCCTGGACTCATAGGACTCCTGATACGGATGCCAATTATAACTTCCATTAGGAACGATACTATTAATTTTCCTTTAAAAGTTAAATTTTTGACAATAGCAGAGACTTCTTCATAGCGTTGTTTCCTGGTACCAAGAGAAGAATGCGGGTTTGTTGTAGCAACAATGGGCCATCTTTCCTACTGTCTTCAACTTGAAAATATAATTGCAACAGCCAAAATGAAAATGAAGCCTAGTCAGGTTTTGTGTGGAACAGCCACAAGCTGTTTGAGAAGTTACCCCACAAATTTTGATTACTGGCTCTGAACTACATTGACATATCCAGCAGTGTGAGTGCTCCTCTTTATTTGCTGAGCAAAGTAAAATGGATTGGTATAATCTACTGATGAAGACAGTTTAAACTAAACTTTTCTTTGAGCTGCGACATACTGGAGCTTATACAATTTACTACTTTATCTTGCTCCAGTGCGTGTGTGGGGAATGACGGTACAAACATCTGCAGCACAGTAACTTTATATACTGCTACAGCTGTTAAGCAAGAAGATATCTGATTCCCCTTGGATCCGTTTATATCTGAGATTTGAAAAAGGAAGGCACTTGCACCTACATCAAGTGCTATGTAAGAACTGAGATATGCCACGTTCAACCATGACAACCTTGCATCCTTCGAATGTTTTGTTACTTGCTATCATATCTTGGATCTAGATAAAATCACTTGTACAAACATAAGATCCCTGGTCCTGTTTTGGATTATTCATAGTAATTTTCTTTTTTTTTAATTCTAAAAGGAATATTACTATTTGTAATATGTTTGAATTCCTTCATATGTTTTAATCATAATTACATGTGAAATGCTCCAAATATTTTTTTTTTTTTTTTCGTCCTGGGCAGGGTTTGCTGTGATTAAATAACCAAGATGATCTTTGAAACTTAATTGGTCTCCTCTTTGGGTCTCTTACATTAGTACTGCATAGAAATGTTTGTATTTGGATCAGATGATTTTAATGTTGCTATAGAAATGTCTAAACTTGAGTAGGTGTGGAACAGCACTGTGCCCTGTGTCTTTGAACTGTATGGGCCTAAGCAAACAGTGGCAAGGGTTTGCAATGTGCCGAGCTGGCGCATTGGTGGTTTTGGTCACCTGAACGCGTGAAATAATGCATAGCAGAGACTTGCAACACTACTACATGAAGTTCGATCTCTCATTTTTAACTCTCAGCACTTCTTTGGCTCCATGAGACTTGCTTGAATTGCTTGAGCCAGGACAACAGCCCTCCAGTTGAGCTCTGCTCAGCTTCTGGATGCATGAGTACAGGGAGAGGGCGTCTGTTAGATGGAGGGTCTGCACAGACAGTCTTGGGGGAGGGGGTTCACTGGTGACTAGAAATGTATTGCAGCTGTAGTGTCATGCTCTCCCTCCCTCGTACAACTTTTCAAAGTGGAATAGTGAACAGAGAGGAGGAAACTGGGCCTCTCGTGTCCTTAGACCAGAATGGCCTCACGTGTTAGAGCTCATTGGCACGCTGCTCTGAAATCGGTTTGAGTCATGCAATGTACAGCACCAGGCTTAATCTGTAAGGAGGCAACCGTATCAAATGAGTGAGTTGTCGTGGGTTTCCCCAATGTGGGAGAATGGAACGTGGTTTCAGACAAAACTTCTTTACTTTGTTGGGTCTTAGTAAGTGCTGTTCTGTGACCTGCTCCTCTTTGTTTAACGAACAGACTGCTCTTAAGGCTTTGTCAGGTAGTTGAGTGGATGTTTGCCTTTGTTGTTCAAAAAATCATGGAAAAATTAGTTTTATTTGGGGAAATATGTTCTGATCAGTTCCAAAACTCCAACTGTGGACTAGTGCCTGGATACTGTTAAACACCATATATGAAACAGCATTGTACCGTCTCTCTTAAGGATCATATGTATAGCAAGGCATGCGGCAAAGGATTAAACAGACATGCAAGTAAATCTCTCTCATAAAAAAGATATTGTGTTATATTGTATATGACCTGTAGCCCAAGACACTTTTATGAACTGCTTATCCACTGCCATCCCAACCCTACTCCCCTGTCTGGTACCAGCACTCATTATAAATCATCAGTCTCTTTCTCTTAATATCTTCCTGCTCTAGTTATGTTCTTTTTTATATATATTCCTTACATTAATATTAAGAAAAAGATTTTTTAAAAAGACTTTTTTTGCTGGGTTTTGCCTTTAGGTTATTCTTCATCCAAGTGATTACCCTGATTTTAAGGATAGTCAGAGTAAGAGAACTGCTGCAAGAACCATCTGTCTGGACTTACTAAATGACCGAGAGGGTGTCTGTCTGGGTGATCTGCATTTAAATTGTATCATCTTATCCTCATTATCTTTTTGTGTAATTGTCTGGGGATTTTTCTGAAGGATTCCTTTAGCATAAATCACAATGTATGATTTCAGATACCTCATTTTTGTCTGTGTGGCTTAAACCAGAAATATATTAAATTTGGTCCTTAGAGTCCTCCTGGGTCATTCTTTTTTGTGCTTTTATGAATTAAATCCCTTTCTCCCTCCCCTCTTTTTTTTTTTATCCCTGGATTATTTGTCCACTGGAAAGAGCTAATGCCTGAAACTTACAGGGGGTGTGTGTTCCCCAGGTTTTCAGAGTGTATTTGTGTTTACATATTAATGTGTTTTTTCTCATATAATCTACTGATGGTGGCATTTTTAATCAGTTTTGAAGGACCATTCTGAAACAGTCTGTGAAATTTGAAAAATATTCCAAAAGGAGCTGTCTGACTAGGTCTGAGATACTCATTAACAAACATCCATAAATTCATAATTGCAGACTGGCTTCCTTGTTTACCATTTTTCTTTCATAACGACAATGAGACATGACAGCTAGTCCCAGGGGATTACTGTACTTCTCGGCTGGTTGATGTCACTCCGCATTTAGACCTGCGTCTTGCGGAGCAACCAAGGGACTCACTGATCTCCCGCAAATGTGCTACCTGTCACGTCTTATTGTCTTAAAACAGACCCGTCTGATTACTGAAATGGAGAAATATTTGTGCATAAGGGTTTAAACTCATCTTAAAAAGACTGCCTCCGCTTCCGTAACAGATCCAAAATTGAGATACTGTTTAAATTGAGAACGTAGAAAAACATTTCAGTTTTAAAGATTTAGTGAGTGTATCTGCATTCCTTTATTTTGGTGTTGGGAAAAAAAAACCTTGTGACTTTCAAATAGATTGAGGTCTTCCGTTCTAACAGAAGTCTTCTCATTACATGTTTGTTAATTGAATTCTACTCAAGATTTAAATTCTGCTGCTCGGTCAGTAATTTTTCAAGTGAAGTGAAAACCTAATTCCAGAATTTCTCAAATTTAACTGATTTGCTATAGAATTTGGTCAGGACTTTGTATCCTGGTAAATGCAATGACTTTTGTGGCCTTTATATTAACATGCTTTTGTACATTTATTACGATTATTAAGTAAATGCTGTTTTTGTGTTATAAATTCTTTGGACTGATCTGGATGTCCCCAGATACTTCTCAGTTGGCTGCTATGTTCTGAATTCTGGACTGAATTTTAAACTGGTGTTTGGATCTGTTCAACTGTGCCGCTTAAATTCTAATTGTCTTTTTTGGACTAAAAGAGCAAGCAGAATTTTTCCCTAAAGATTTGGATGTGTTCATCATTCAGCCTTAAAACTGTTAAGCTTGCAAACAATTTGAACTTGATTACTCTTCTGCAGAGCTGTGTCCTCCAAACAAAATTAATGGTAAAAATGCTTTTGAATTTTTCTGGGAACAGAATCAGGCTCTTACAACCTCGCTCAATGTGCTTGTCTTTCTGAAATTGCCTCAGAATTGGTATTGCCAGTGTATTCACAATGATGCTTCAGCCTTTGGGCCACATGGCTCGACCAGCGAAGAGCAGGTTCAGCCACCTACCCATGAGGATCCCAGCTTTGCCAGGGGACCCCCATGTGGTGGCACGGACCACCACCCCCAGCAGCCTGGCTCGGCAGGCACAGCTGGAGACTTCCTGTGCTGGAAGGAGATCAAAATTTCCTGTGTCCAAAGCTGGTTTCATCTTGATTGGTGACTTGATGAACTCTCGTTACTTGCCCGACTCAAAAAGAGCATGCATCCTGCTCCGGCATACTGAGATTTGTCAAGTTTCTTGCTCTGGGAATCGTGAAATTGTGAGTCCTTGCATATTAGTCACTGCTAATGCCCTTGATCTTGGTGCTGCTTGCTGTTTCATTGTCACAGTCTCGCTTGCTCTCTGTAGCTCCCATCAGGCTGGACGTGGTTTGGGTGATGGTTTAATTTCCTTGTCAGCCGCATTGACGCATGAGGCTGTGATACCTGTGCAGCTAGGGAAGGTGTTCGTGGCCCTAGGGCCCTATGTTTGGGGACCCTGCTGGTGCACAGTGCCCCACGCCAAGCCCCAAGCCCCCAGTGCATCCCTCCTCACCTCATGGTCGATCAGGTACACCAGGCACATCCCTTCTCAAAGAGACTCCTGTCTATCATGGGGCGTTTGCAAATTCTGCATCATCCTCACACAAGTACCTGCTATATTGCCTCTCTCCCTCCCAAAAATATAGAATGCTAGATCATTGAAATAGAAGTAATAACACCCAAACCTTATCACTGGGTCAAGAAGCAGTAACTTGGACTAGTTTCATAAAATTTACCTTTATTACTGATTTAGTAGTTAGTAAATAATTAGTAATTGGTAAGATGACGCACACTAGTGATCTTGGTTTGACATCTCACAAATTTCAACCACCGTTTGTAAGGGAGGACAACAGTCTTTGTCCAGAAAAGTGACATTGTGAGCCATTCCAGCCCCACTTTTAATTACATGAATCTGGCTTCTGAGACAGGAAGATGTAATTGCAGAAAGACACAAAATATCTCCATAATCACCAGTTTCATGAAAGTACTTAAAAATGATGAGAGGGAGCATATTGCGAATCTCTAAAAATAAATAGTTTGTAAAGTCATAATCATTATAAAACAGATTTACTTGTGAAGGCAGTATTACACATGTTAAGGGTAGTCTGTCACTTACAACGTGTAGTACATATGTGACTTTGAAAAACAAGCCAGTAAGAGCTGTATTAATGACAAATTTTATTTCTATCAGTAAGAGCTGTATTAATGACAAATTTTATTTCTATCATTTTAATGGATGTAAAATTGTGGAAGTTAGGAAGGAATTTATAATCTTTTTTAAAATTTAGTTTAATCCTGAAAACATTTTTTAGAAAGAAAACTTAGTTTTTGAAAACATGAACCTACTTGTATTTTGTGAAAATATACATAAATAGGTAATTTCTCATTTTGACCACACCACCAGTTCTTGTTTTACTTTTTCTTTCATTTTTTTTAATCTTTAGATTCTATTGCGGGCTGTATTGGAAAACTAGTAAAATACTATCATTTTCCAGATAATGTTCTTAACTTCTTGGCATATGTTCCCTCTTTCAAACCCCTCAGGATAATCCACAGCTCCACAAAAACATGAGTCAAATACATTACAAATTTCCCTCAGAGAGTCAACATCTTTTCCAGCTGTTTGGATAGTCTGTCTAAAACCTGACCAGACCTCTCATCTCCCAGTATAGTTTTGGGCTTTTATTTTTTGACTTTGATTTGTTCAACGTTATAATTTCTAAGCTGAGCCAATAACTTCAGTCTCTTTGGTTTTCTTTACAATAGTTGCACTGGACAATAAAATGATCTATTATCCAAAGAAGATTGCATTGTTTTCAACTATTTCTATTCACTAGTGCAAAATTTCTTACCCATGTCAACAAACCCTCTTTTAAAATCCTTTCTAGGCAGTTTCACATATTATTTATGGAATAAAATTTATCTCAACCGTATTCCTAAATAGACTTCTATGTTTGATTGGTTTCAGATAGGTGCACAGCAATTTTGGGGGCCATAAAGAGCTCTTGGTAGATGTTCTATTTTAAATATAGTTTTGGCAACTGGGTAAGTTAAAAAAAAAAAAAAAAGATAATGTATTTGTGATCAGTCCAGTTAATTCCTTGTGTATATTGTCTGGCAAGGTAGTATAAATCTAGTTGTAACAGCTTTAAAGATTGGCAAGTTACCTAGTAAGCAGCCTAAGGTGGGAATTGGGCCTCAAAAGTTTTCCATCTCAATTAGCAAAAATAAGCTTATCCCCCAGCCTATCTACCCTGACCATTTATTTTCTTCTAACCTTTAATAAACCTTCGTTGACTATGGAGAAAGGGAATTATGTTAAGAGAATCCAGAGCTGGACCAGTTAATATCCGTGAACAGTATGATCTCCTGCTCTATATTTCATTTGTTGCCTGCAAGAGGAAGAAAGCAAAGGAGGAAAGGAGGTTATAACCATAGTAACACTATGTCCCAAATCTCACAATATATTAGATCATACTTTTAAAGTGCTGTATCAAATATGATAGCCAGCAATCAGGAAAGTGTTTGTCACTTGAGTTGCCCAGATCTCTCTGAATGAATGTGCTAATTGTGTGGGTTTGTGCTTGGTGACTGATGATAGCTGCTGGTTCCTCCTGAGCATGGGGACTAACACAAT